CCCTGAATTGTGATTTGATTTCCTGGTTGTCAGTGTATTCATTGGTGTGTGCTCTATTTCACGTTGTTGTCATTATTTTTTGCATTAAAATTATATTTGCCTCAACTGGATGGAAGCAATCTAGTCTCCTTGTTGTAATCTTGGTTAGATGTGCAAGTCGTAAGTATACATGATCATACAGTAAAAGAAAAGTAAAAGATGCATGCTGATCTGGCATAGACATATTTCATTTTTTTAAAATACTAAATACATCATAAGGCAAACAGCGTGGTGACGCTTGAATTATTCTCCATGCTTGCTTTGTTTTAAAAGTTTGTAGCCTAGCATTGATGTCTGAGATACCTATAGTTGTAAATGATGTGCAGGAGGTTCCTTATTGAGACGAGAGACATCTAAGAGAAACTTAATAGTTTTTCATAGTTTTCCTCCAATATTGGATTTTGTTATTTGCTTAAATGCATGCATTATCCCACCTCTCACGCACATGCAATAATCCATAAGCTGAAATAAAGGACTGGCACCCTTGTAAACAGGGCAATTTCGTATATGTATATCAAGTTCGTAAAAATCTCAAGTATGTGCTTAAGATTAAGCACCACAAACTATAACGGGAAAATAATCGGACTAAACAGACAACCAAAAACAAGAAATACAGATATTTACTGAATCTTTTCTCTTCTTGTTTTCTTTCGAGTCTTTTTTACCTTAACAATGTGGAAGATCAACTGGAGGTGGCTGTAGAAACCCTGATGGTCCCACCCCATTCTCCACCACAAAGACCATCGCCAGCCCCCAAGTTATGTGCACATCCAAGTGGCAATGCATTATCCAGGCTCCCGGATTATCCGCCATAAAACGAATCACAGCCCACCCCTTAACTGGCAGCCCCACGGTGTTCCTCAATGGCGGGTCGATCAAATTGAACTTTGGTGTATCTCTCTCAGCATCGAAATTGCCAAATCCAGTTGCAAGCACGTAGAAATCATACCCATGGAGATGTACAGGATGGTTTTCCCCTGCAACTATATTGGTGCCCTGCAATACTATCTGCACAACTGAGCCATACTTCAATGGATAAACCTTAGTTGCTTGCACTGGTTGCCACAAATCTTGGCTTATGTTATCAGCAGTGTAGTCAAATTGAACCGGCGGAACTGCAGGGAAATCAGTGGTGAAAACCCCTGGCACCCCGAACTGCTGAGCTTCGAGGATGGAGATGGTTGAAGGGAGCACAAAAGAGTAATTGTTCATGCTGGCTGCAAATCGAGTTCCACCAGGACCCTGGCAAGTTCTGCCAGGGGGACAACTGAGCAAGCCAACGCCTACCGTGATGAAGAGGTGCTCATCAACAGGACCTGGCAGCGTCACTGGTGATAAGCTCTTGTAGCCAGCAGCAATTGCGGTGGCAGCAAAGGTATCATTGTACGCAGGGAGTAGAGGCATCAATGGTGGCAAGATTCCACAGCCAGCTCCCCTGTATTCGAGGATGGCAGTGGTGGTGGTGGGGTTGAATTGGACACCTTGGGCGCTGGCGTAAGCACGGGCAGCGATGTAGTATTTTCCGGGAGGTGCGCTGGTTGTGACGAGGACATCAGTGGTCTGGCCAGGACCAAGCATGAGGACCGAGGTTACGAATGGCTTGTTATAGGCAGCATCGGCTCCGACCACTGTCATTGTGTGGCCGGCGATGGATATGAAGAACTCGTTGTTGAGTGCAGCGTTGATGAAGCGCAGGAGTATAGTCTCCCCAAACGCTGCTGGAATTATTGTTGTGCCTGAAAATATGATGCATTGAAGTTTTATTTTTTGTGTGAGAGGATATAATAGTTCAGAGGATGAATTGAAGAAGAGAAGATGGATGACCTTTGCTTGAACAGTTGTAGAGATCGCCGGGCTGGCCGTTGATGGTGTATGCATCGGATATGGCTGGAGCGGCTCCGGTCATTGTTGCTTGTCTCACAACTTGAACTGGGTCTGTATTCCACCACTCCCCTGTTTGTTTTTACCAAATTCATTATGATACTTTTTATCATCATATCTTGTACTTCAATTTCATATAATTATAGTTATTTTTCTGCATGTTCTTTGTTGTCATGATATCTAAATTTGTTCAAATTTTTGAATTGTTCCCTGTCTTTCTGAATTCTCAAAATTGATTATATAGGATTATTTGTGCTCCCTTGTTAGAGAGGACAAGTATAGTACACATCAACTTAGGATTGGTCGCCCTTAGTAACATAGTACTTAATGACATACTTTATTGGTAGGGGTATTAGGTTACTGTTCCGTTAATAAAAGCTATGATTTGAATTAAAAGAATGATCTTATGTTTTTGCAGTACACAAGTTGTAATTGATTCAAACATAATTAAAAATTTATTGATTTTATAAAATTTGCATCCTTGATCGACCTATTTTTGCAGCATCAATTATAACCGTCATTATCATGTCGAACTTGGTAACCAAAGTTGTCCCAGCTACAATTGTTTAAAGAAAACTTCTTCACTTTGTGCTAATCACACTAACATGAGAGTTACATATTCCTCACCAAACTATGGATTGAAGATAAGGAAGATATATTATTTTGGAAACATATATTATAATAGATCTAAACATAAAGTTAAAATCATTATTTTTGCATGTCGTACCCTTGACCTTTTCTTGGGTAGTATTGCAAGAAGTTAGTAATCAAGTGTCCTCATCATGTCAAACTTTGGTAACCAAGAGTTGTCCTAATGGCTCTTAATTTGTTAAAAAACACCTTGATTTTCTTCTACCAACAATAACAAGCAAGTTCTATATTTCTTACCAAGAGTTACAAGGGCTTCTCTATGTGGCTTAGGGTAAGGGTAGGATTTATGCTCTCTCGGATAGATGATGAGAGCCCCATACACAGTCGCTCTAAGCCAAGAACTATGTGCATGCCACCAAAGTGTTCCTTCTTGGCCCTTGATCGTGAACCGATACGTGTAGCTCCCTCCCGGCCTTATAGGACACTGCGTCACAAATTCCGGCCCGTCAGCCCATGCAGTTGTCATCTGTCTGACTCCATGCCTGACCACAGTGAACATAAATCACCTTAGAATTCCAATTACATGTATACATATCTGATGCATGCATGTGTAATTTGATGCACGGCTGGGTATGAGGTGACAACTTAAGTTGCTGAATGAGCTGCCAACAGATAGAATACTTGTGAGTCTCATCTCGCCAGAGCAGGTGACCTCACCGTTCCCATCTCTTGGCACCTCATTCTGCTAAATGAGGTGGCAGCGCGTACCAATATTCTGATATATATTATGTATGTACGCATGTATATGTATGTATATCTATGTATGTTTGCACGTACCAGTGGACTGTGACATTGTAGCGGGCTCGGTTCATGACATTGATCACGAGAGAGTCTCCATTCCTGATCTTAAGCGTTGGACCAGGAAGCTGTCCATTCATTGTAATGATCTTGTGTTCCTGGCACAGCCTCTTCACTGGTGTTTCTTGGAGCTAGATCAAGTAAAATGAAGAAAAAAATTTATCATGAAGACTCTGAAGAAAGAAGCATAGACTGGAAATGACAATAGATGATTAGAGAGCATACAACAAAGTCATGGTAGTGGACTTCTGCATTGATACAAATAAAAAGAAGAGAGAGACATAAGAACAAACAGATTAACGAGAAAATCATGAGATTGGTTGTGCGAGCCTCCATTTTCAGCAGGGGTATTAGTTTGGGAGATTAATTAAGAAGGAATTGTGAAGGAGTGAGATCTGCTTATATTAATAGAAATACAAATGCAAATGTTAGGGAGATCTGGTGGTTTTGAGTTTGGCAGATTAGGTTTAGATTTTAAGGAGCAAGAGGTTTTGTTTTTAATTTTAAATGGGGGTTAAGCTTCTAAAGGCTACCTTGCTCAAGACTCTATGAGTGGTTACAACAACTAGCTCCATCACACGGTTGGATGGTAAATTGAGCAGTCCTTGTTCTACAAGAATTCAAAGTGGCTGGAACTTCTTAGAAGTTAGAACAATCCTGGTCTAAACCTACTTAATCACTTGTTTCTTATATCACCGAATCAGATGCGCAGCATTAAATTTGTGTTATTTATCAGAGAAATCTAAAAATTTTGATTTAGAACACTTGATTCTTTAAAAATTGTTCTTCAAACCAACCGTTGAACTGTAAATTGCTTAACTAAAAAAACTAGATACACAGAAGTATATACATAAGGGTCTTAGATAAATAGAAAAGATTGCCACACGTGCCATTAAATACTTGTTGAGACCTTTAAGCTGTGATTGTGGTACAAAAACTTACTGATAAAGCAATTGAAGAAAAATACATCCCTCTGGTTTGATTACCAAAGAGTGTGAAAGAGGAACAAAACCGAGATACCCCATCTTTTTGTCTCATTAGTGAGAATTAACAAAAGAAGTGACATCCCTTTCTCTTTCTTTCTATCTTACTTGCTTACAAGTCATTTTCCATGCAAATAAACAAGAAAGATAGGCTTATATCTTACTAACTCTTTTGACAACTAATTTACTACTTCTGGTCAATACCCTTTATCTTGGATAACAGACATCATTGAACCTTTTGATGCTTGGTTTTGGAAGAACCACATGGTGTAATTACTAATTAGTATTTGTGTAATGGTTGTTAGTGGAGGTGAGCTCCTCCGTAGAAAGAGTTTTTTATTTTTGGGTTTGGAGGTCTATTTTTAGATGCCTCATTTCCATGTAACTTGTCTCTCTTTAGCAGTCTTTAACCTGTGAAGTTACCAAGAGATAGATTATGATTTTTTCCTTGCCATAAAAACTAATGCAGAGTAATGCGAAATTCTAAGTTACGGTATTAATCAGTTCAAGTACTCCAAGTTACATTGATGAATGTGTATGTATGAAGAAATCACTAACTTACCAAACTCTTACTGTCACAGGTTATCTATCTATATGAAATTGAGGACTGAGTTAATTACCTCCATTGAAAGAGACCCTTCAAAGCTTCCCTGGTATAGTCTATGGCACTATGCTTATGTAGCCTAGAGGCTGATGTATTTTATTAATGTATGCTTGTTAGTTTTTAGTTTTTAGCCAAAGGCAACTCGCATGCCGTATGTATGTTTGGTTTATTGCAGCTGTAGGGGTTGTCACTAGTATGCAACTGGAACATTTGGATCAATAATAGTTGTTCATTTCTTTGCAACTGATGAATGTAGTAGCGAAAAGGTCATTAGTTGCAGCAGATGACTTATACAGATTTGGGCATAAGTCGCAGTTTGCAACCCTTTTGAGTTGTATATAGGCTTTAAATTATAGGTCCAACTATAATTAATCTCTAACTCAAGTCCAAAAACCAGATACCCAGAACAAACACCTACAGCTACAATTTCAATGATAGATTACAGTATTTAATAATTAGACTAAGCATTTGCAACTAAAACTGCATGCTACTACTGTTGCTGTAACTACAAGTGCATGCGACTAACACCTGTATTGTATATTACAATTGCAGTGAACCACACATTTCTTGTGAAAACGGTGAAGGAATTGAGAAAAACGTGAAGAATAAGCAAAACAGACTCCACCACACACTGGCGTGGTGTCTGCCACACCGGTGGTAGAATCTGCCATGTTTGTCATGGGTGTGGTGTCTGTCACACCCTGGTGTGGCAGAATCTGCCCTGTTTGTCATTGGTGTGGTGTGTGTCATACCAGGGTGTGGCAGACTCGTTTTTAGAATCCTAATCTATTTGGGATTGTGTTTTGTTATAAATAGAACCACGTTTTTTAGGGTTTCTTGAGAAGAATTAGCATTGTTTTGAGCACTTTGAGAGGGAGATATTGTGAGGGAGTTGAGAGCTTTGGTTAGGGTTATATTTGCGTGATTTTGTGAGTTGTAACCCGTTGTATTTCTCCTCCATATAGTGAAATCTCCCCATCCTCTCCCCGTGGACTTAGGCAATTGCCGAACCACGTAAATTCCTGTGTTTGTGTGTGATTTTTGGTCGTTATTTTTTGAATTGCACTCGTGTTTGGTTTTGGTTTTCTTCTCTCATCGCTCACCGACTCGTTTGGTTGTCGAGCAATCGTGTTTGGTTTTGGTTTTCTTCTCTCATCGCTCACCGACTCGTTTGGTTGTCGAGCACGCTTCCGCATGGCGCGCAACAATTGGTTTTCTTCTCTCATCGCTCACCGACTCGTTTGGTTGTCGAGCACGCTTCCGCATGGCGCGCAACAATTGGTATCAGAGCTCGGATTTCAGATCTAGGGTTTTGGATTAGGTGGAGGAAGATTCAGTTGGAAGCTTGGTTCTTGGAGTTTTAGGCTTCGGTGGAGTTAGGGTTTAAAGTTACCGTTGAAGATCTCGCTTTCCTTGTGTGGTTAGGAGTTCTATTTGGAATCCAATCTAGGGTTCAGTTGGGTAACTTCTAAATTCTATAAAGTTTGAATCTTTCTTTGTAATTTAGAGTTTGTGATTATGGGTGAAGAAGTTGATGAAAGCAGCAAGATGACGGGTACAGTTCAAGTTGGTTTTCAGAACATTAAGATTAGTGTGGTGAAATATGAAAGCAGCAAGATGACGGGTACAGTTCAAGTTGGTTTTCAGAACATTAAGATTAGTGTGGTGAAATATGACGGTAAAATTAATTTTGGTTTGTGGATGAGCGACGTACAGGATGTGCTCAATGCTCAAAATTTGAAGGAGATCATCATGGTCGATGAGAGGGCACCTAAATATGAAGAGACGATATGAGAAAAGATGAATAGAAACGCTTATGGGGTGATCAGGTCTTGTTTGGAACAGGAGCTGAAATATGATGTGATTGGGGTGACGTTTGCAATGAAGATGTGGGAAATTCTCAACAATAAGTACCTTACGAAGAGTGTTGAGAACCGTTTGTATTTGCTGCGAAGATTATTCAGATTTCAGATGTCCAGAGGCACCTCGCTAGCGGCTCATGTGAACAACTACACTAAGTTGTTGTCGGACTTGGCGAATGTTGATGAGAAGATATCAGATGAATACAAGGCTATTATTCTTTTGAGCTCCTTACCGGATGAGGAGTATGATACCTTCGTGCTTACTTTGTTGAATGGAAGATCTTCTATCACTTATAGTGAAGTGACTAACGCATTGACAAACTACGATTTGAGGAGGAAGGATAATGAGACTTCCCGCACTAGTATTTCAGGAGAGGCCTTGTCGACAAGAGGTAGAAGCCCATATCCGAAAGGTGGAAATAGAGCAAGGTCAAAGTCAAAAGGTCATCACCAGCTAGGAAAGAACCAATGTGCATTCTGCAAGGAGCAGAGACATTGGAAGAGAGACTGTCGAAAGATCAAAGAGAAGGAGAATAGCAAGAAAAAGGGCCCGAAGGCCAATGAGGTGAACGTTGTGAAAGACGATGATTTCGATGATTCGAGCTTTTCTCTACTGATTACTCCGGAGGTGAACCAATTGGATGCATCAGATTGGAGCTTGATTCCGACGCTACTTATCATGTGACCCCTAGGCGAGATTGGTTTGCATCATTTGAGAGACTCGATGGGGGTGTTGTCATGAGAAATGATCAATCCCGTGATATTTGTGGGATAGGTACCGTGCGGATTTGGATGCACGACGGAGTAGTCCGCGAATTGAAGGAGGTGAGATTTGTTCCTCAGCTGGAGAAGAATCTTATCTCAGTTGGAGCTTTGGAGGCGAAGGGATTCAAGGTGACATTTGAAGACGCTGTAAGAAAGGTTATTAAGGGATCTTTAGTAGTAATGAAGGGAGTCCACAGTCGGAACTTGTATTATCTGAAGGGGAGCACCGAGATTGGCCATGTTGCTTCAGCTATTTCAGAGGCGGACATGAGTAGGCTTTGGCATTATAGGTTAGGGCACACAGGAGAGAAGTCACTGCAGGCGCTGTGCAAGCAGAGAATATTGAAAGGAGCCAAGAGTGGTAAAGTGGAGTTCTGTGAGCACTGTGTTCTTGGTAAAAAGACAACGGTGAAGTTCGGGATGACCATTCATAGGACGAAGGGCATCCTGGACTACGTGCACACAGATGTTTGGGGTCCCACCAAGACTGCATCACTTGGTGGTCGACATTGGTTCGTCACGTTCGTTGATGACTATTCTAGGCGATGTTGGGTGTACACCATGGCAAAGAAGAGTGAAGTCCTAGATATATTCGTGGAGTGGAAGAAGAGATTGGAACTGCAGACTGGGAGAAAGATCAAGACGTTACGATCCGACAACGGTGGTGAATATACTTCAGACCCATTTCTGCAGCTATGTCGAGACGAGGGCATAGAGAGGCACTTCACGGTTAGTCATACACCGCAGCAGAATGGGGTGGCAGAGAGCCTTAATCGGTCTTTACTAGAGAAGGTCCGATGTTTATTGTCGCAAAATGGTTTGGAGAAGATCTTTTGGGCTGAGGCACTTACATATGCGAGCCACCTCATTAATAGGCTGTCTTCATCTGCGATTGGGGGGAAACCCCCTATAGAGAAGTGGTCGGGAGAGACATCACACGATTATAACCAGCTCAAGGTATTCAGGTGCCCTGCATTTTATCATGTGAGAACAGATAAATTAGAACCTCGAACTAGGAAGGCCATATTTATAGGATTCAAGCGCGGTGTCAAGGGATACAAGCTTTGGGATCCAGTTGATAGGAAGATTGTGCTGAGTAGAGACGTCACATTTGATGAGGCTTCTATCTTGAAGCTTTCCAGCTCTCATCAGGTGGAGAGCGACCCGACAGAGGAGATATCGCAGGTGGTGGAGATCGATGCAGCTCCACATTGTCCAGATGGTACAGTATCCATTAGAGTGCCGACTGAGGTGACGTCAGGCGAGCACGATGACGAGGAGGAGGATACGAGTACAGTTATACAGGATCAGGGACCGATGGCTCAGGTTCAGGATTCTATTACGGTTCGGAGACAGAGGAGAGACATACGGTTGCCAGCACGGTATGCCGACACAGTTGCATATGCACTTTCGGTGGAGAGTATCGATGAGATGGTGCCTACTACATTCAGAGAGGCCGATCAGAGTTCGGAGGCTGATTCGTGGCAGGTGGCTATGCAGGAGGAGATGGAGTCTCTTCACAAGAACGATACGTGAGAGCTTGTTGAGCTTCCAAAGGGGCGGAAGGCAATTGGTTGCAAGTGGGTATACATAAAGAAGGAGGGTATTGATGGCACTCCATTGAGGTTCAAAGCTAGGTTGGTTGCGAAGGGCTATGCACAGGAGGAATGTATTGACTATAATGAGGTTTTCTCTTCGGTGGTGAAGCACTCTTCTATTCGGATTTTGCTAGCTTTGGTGGCACAGTATGGTTTGGAGTTAGATCAGTTGGATGTGAAGACGACATTTTTTCATGGTGATCTTGATAAAGAAATATATATGACTCAGCCATTGGGATTCCGAGCTGCAGGGAAGGAAAAATTTGTTTGCAGATTGAAGAAATCACTATACGGTTTGAAGCAGTCCCCTCGACAGTGGTATAGACGATTCGATGATTTTATGATTGGTCATTCGTACACTCGGAACCAGTTTGATCCTTACGTATATTTTCGCAAGTTGAAAGGAGGTGCGTACATCTATTTGTTACTTTATGTCGATGACATGTTGGTTGCCTCTACTTCCAGGTCGGCTATAGATGAGTTGAAAGTTCAGCTTTCAAATGAGTTTGAGATGAAGGACTTGAGTGAGGCCAAACGCATTTTGAGAATGGAGATCGGCAGAGACAAGAAGAAAGGTAAAATTTGTTTGACACAGGTGACTTATTTGAAGAAGGTACTACAGCGATTTCATGTTAGCATGGATACGAAGCCAGTTAGTGTACCATTGGGAGCCCATTTGGAGGAATTTGGTATATCACAGAGGTCCGTCACTATTCATTATGATAGCATGAGTGCTATCTATTTGGCGAAGAATCAGGTTTTTCATACGAGGACGAAACACATTGACGTTCGTTATCACTTCATTCGTAATGTTCTTGAAGATGGCGATGTGGAGATTGTGAAGGTTCACACGAAGGATAATCCGGCGGATATACTCACTAAGGTGGTTCCGAGCAACAAGTTTGATCATCGTCGAAACTTGTTGCACATTCGTGATTGTTGAGGCAGTTAGCGGCCATTTGGATGAGCTACGGGCGGCTTGATCCCTTGGGAGAGGGGGTACGTAGGCAATCACATT